ATGCCGCCGGGATTAATGGTGAGGGGAAAGGGGGCGGCTAGGGTTCCTAAGGTTTGGGGGTTTGGTGAGGACGATCTAAGGGTAGGGGGTCAGGCTAGGGGCGTGGGGTAAAGGAATGAGCTTATATAGTAGATGAGTGATTGAATGTTGGCCGTTGGATTGCTGACAATCAATGGCTGTGATCTTTCTACTGAAGGGAAACGGTGTCGTTTGTTCTCATGCTGGGACTGGGTCAAACCGGTTTCATCGGGTTAGGTCAGGTAACGGGTAAGTGAAGAGGGTCCTGGGCCGTTGGATTGGCCTGGACGGACGGCTCAGATCAAACGCCTTTATACAGCGTCGTTTGGGGGGTTTGCCTGAGGCCTGGTTTGGACTGGGTCAAATTGAATTGGTTTGGGCCTATTTTGGTTTCATTTCTTGGCCCAAACAGATTTTCTTCACTCTTTTCTTTTGTTTTTTTTTCTAATTTTAAAACTAAATAAAAAAAACGAAATTAAAACAACCATTAATTTAACACTTAACACAAATATCACACACATATCAAAATATAAAAATAGGTTAAATCACACCCTAGAATAAAAGATGCATATTTTTGTGAATTTTCTTTTAATGACCGAATTATGGTTTAATTGTACATGACATACATATTTTGTATTTTGTTTGATAAGATTAAATAAATAAAAATAAAATAAATAAATAAAATAAAATAAAATGGACAGAACTACAAATGACTACCAACACATGTCACGTAAAAATCGAAAAATTATACAGTGATGCCATTTGTTATTATTTTTGATTTCTTTTGGAGTGATTGTCCGTGAAGCAAAAATCACGTGCTTACAACCACATCATCTGATAAGTGCAACCTGATTGCACTAGCAGCTCTTTCATCCAAGTCAGACCAATCCTCAGCTTTCATGGTATCAGGATTTTGGAATCAACATCTAGAACCTTGTGTAATCCTTGTTGGATGAGCAGATCTCTCATCCTTCTTTGCCATGTTGAGAAACCGTTATCTCCGTTGAATTTTGTTACCTCGTACTTTACTCTAGACATTTTTATTTTTCACCAAGTATAGTACTACCGACAGTGAATAGTATTTCAGTGAACGAGCAGAACCTGTGCTCTGATACCAGTTGTTGGGAATAAACCCCTTACCAAAATAATATTCACGGTAATAAAAGCGGAATAATAATGTAGCACAGAGATACGGTAATTAATAAGAATAAAAGAGTAACAATGACACCAAGATTTTTACGTGGAAAACCCTTCTGAATAAGGGAAAAACCACGACCCCGAGAGGAGCAACTGATATCACTATAGTAAGGAATTTACACTTTGTAGGCCTGAGTAAAATACTATAAAGACCACTACAATACTCAAAAGAAATAACCCCCTTTTGATATTTCACCTCACTATAATATCGCTCACACTCTCTATTTTCTTCACATACTATTTTCTTATATCCTGTCTGTGAAACCTCACTCTTTCTTTCTAGCTCTCAGATATATTTTCCTCTGAGATTGATGATCAAAAATGAGAGCTGAAGCTCTCATTTTATAGGCAAAAAACGAGCCTCCCATACTTGACATTTCAATGTTCTGCAGCCTACTTTCTTTGACAGACAAAGAAAACGTGGGCTGCTGCTGCCTATATTGAAAACTGAAGCAAGGAAGAAAACTTCTTCCTTAAATTAAGGGGCTGGACCCCACAAATTGGTATCAATGAACTTAGATATCAAATATTGGGGACAAAATGCACTAACAAAAATAGCAGGGATGGTAGGGAATCCTTTGAAAGCTGATAGGGCTACTACACAGAAACAGAGGCTTCAATTTGCTAGAATTCTAGTTGAGGTGGAAGCATATCAGGAATATCCAGAAGTGATTATGTTTGAGAATGAATGGAGTGAAATCATGGAGCAGGAAATGCATTATGAATGGAAGCCAATATATTGTGCATCATGTGAGAACTATGAGCGTGATATTAAGGAATGCAGGAAACAAATCAGAGAGGGAGCTGAAAAGGAAAAGAATAGGAATGGGATAGAAAACAAAAAATAAATAAATAACAGTGAGATACAGAAGGAAAAACAGCTAGAGAATGATAATGCCATTGAACAAATTACAGAGAAACAGAAGGACAAATTGAAGCAGGATGAGGAAGCAGGCAGAAATGCAAATGAGCAGGACAAATGGCAAGTGGTGCAAGGGAAAAAGCATGGAGAAACAAAGTCAATTATCAGCAAAATAGGAATATGAATTCTAATTTGAGTAACAGAAGTAATGCAAGAACTGATGATGTAGAACAAGAGAAGGAAAGAGGAACAGAAAACAATGAGGAAGGAAGAACAAAAGGGCAGGTTGGGGGGCCTCAACCCTAACACCCTAATGGATAGAATGGATTCTGGAACTCTAGGGGCCTAAATAGACCAGCTAAACAGAAGGAAATGAACATGTTCCTTCAGAGACAACAAGTTGGAATGTTTGGGCTCCTAGAAACTAAGATTAAGAGAGCTAAAGCCAACAAAGCTGCTCTTAATCTATGTACTGGATGGTCGTACACTACTAATCATGCAAAGCATAATGCAGGGAGGATATGGTTGTTATGGAGACCTCAAGTCTTCACTATACAGGTGGAAAAGGTGACAGAACAATTGATTCATAATACAGTGACACACAGAAGTACAGGGAAAAGAATGAGTAATCAAGCACTAAGGACTGAATTATAGAGATACATCAGGACCATAGCAGATCAAATGAATGGGGCATGAGCAATAATGGGAGATTTGAACTCAATTCTCAACAAAGAGGAGAGAGTGGGAAGCAAAGTAACATATGTAAAAATCAAAGACTTGAAAGAATGTGTGGAATACTATGGACTATATGAAATGAAATCATCAAGATGTTACTATACCTGGAGCAATAAACAGGAAGGGCAGGATAGAGTACCGAGTAGGATTGATAGAGTTTTCATCGATACAAAGTGGGTGAATAAACTACCAGTAGCTAAAGTACAATATCTACTAGCAGAGGGATATGATCACAGTCCAGCAATAATACAATATGAAGGGAATGATAGACCAAGACAGAAGGTATTTAGATATTATAATATGTGGAGCATGGATATATCATTTGTGAGTAAGGTAGAAGGAAGTTGGGGACAACATATCCAAGGATCAAATATGTATAAGATAGTGGGGGTAGCTGAATAGACTCAAGAAAGTATTAAGACAATTAAACAAGGGCAGTTTTAGTGAAGTTGAGAAAAAGGAAAAAAACTGGTTAAAGAAGCTGTTAGAATGCCAGGAGAAAATACAAAAAGATCCTAGAAATGAAGGGCTAAGAATAGAAGAGAAGAATTTGACAAAGGAATATATGTACTGGAAGGAAGCAAAAATGAAATACCTGCAGCAAAGAAGTAAGGTACAATGGATCAAACAAGGGGATATGAACACTAGATACTTCCATTCTGTGATCAAGGCAAAAAGGATAGCAACTAGAATCTTCACAATTCATAATAGCCAGGGGAAACAGTGCAAACAACAAAGGAAGTAGCTGCAGCTTTTGTGGAATTCTATGAGAATCTACTGGGCACAGATAAGAAGGACAAGAGTCATGTAGTAAGCACATTAGTACAAGCAGGACCAATGGTATCAGAAGAACAAAAAGCACAGATGACAAAGAGAATTACAATGCAGGAAATCAAAGAGGCACTATGGGGAATAGAAGGTACAAAAGCACCAGGACCTGATAGGTATGGAAGCCAATTCTTTAAGGAGAGTTGGAGCATAGTAGGAAAGGTTGTTACTGAGGCAGTCCTAGAGTTCTTCCAATCTGGGAAGATGCTCAGAGCAATGAATACTACAACAATCACACTAATACCAAAATCTACTCATGCATCAACAGTAGGTGATTACAGACCTATAGCTTGCTGTAATGTGGTCTATAAGATCATTTCAAAGATGCTATGTAACAGATTGAAACTGGTGTTACCTGGGATTATATCACAAAATCAAAGTGCATGTGTGGTAGGGAGGACAATTGTACAGAACATTTTGATATGCCAGGATCTAGTCAGATTGCATAATAGGAAGAACACAACTAAAAATTGCTTGATTAAGGTGGACCTGAAGAAAGCCTATGATTCGATTGAATGGGAATTTGTAAGGGAGATGTTACATGTATTGAATTTCCCAGCTAAATTCATTGGATGGATAATGCAAGGGGATCCAATATAACCCTTGATATTTGTCATCTGTATGGAATACTTCACAAGGGTAATGGGCCAGGTAGTACAGCAGAAGGAATTCAAGTATCATACAAAATGCAAGGAGATGAAACTGACACACCTGTGTTTTGCAGATAATATGATTCTATTTTGTATAGGGGAATATAGCTCTGTAATGCTAATGCTGAGAGGACTGATAACATTCTCAAATACATCAAGGATGACAGTAAATGCTGAGAAATCAAACATATTTTGTGCAAACATGAACAACAATGAAATGGAAGACTTGAGTGAGATTACTGGCTATAAGAAAGGGAAGCTTCCATTCAACTACTTAGGAGTCCCTATTTCTCCTAAGAAGTTGAATGCAGTGGATTGTGAAAGATTAATTGACAAGATACTAATAAGAATCAAGGGATGGGGGTCCAGAAATTTCTCATATGCAGGAAGAGTTCAATTAGTCAATACCGTTTTAATGCATCTTCATACTTATTGGGCATCCATTTTCATACTGCCAAAGAAAGTGATGAAGACCATAGTAACCATTTGCAAGAATTATCTATGGGATGGGAGAGTGATTACCAACAAGCCTCTATTGGTAGCCTGGGATATTGTCTGCAGACCAAAAAGAAGGGGGACTAGGGATACAGGAATGCATATCCTGGAATGAAGCAGCAATTGCCAAATACGTATGGAATATTGAGCAGAAATGTGATACACTATGGGTATGATGGGTGAATCATATATACATAAAAGGGAAGGATTGGTGGCAATACAAACCACCACAGGATTGCACATGGTACTAGAAGAAAGTATGTGACATTAAAGAGAAATTTGAAGCTGGATTTGAACAAAGAGGCTGGAAAGGAAATAATATACAGTACACAATCAAAGATGGCTATGACTGGAGAAGAGGAGAAACAATCAAATGGCCATATGCTAGATGGATTTGGAACAGTTTAAATGTTCCAAAGCACTGTTTCATTGGATGGTTGATCATGAAGCAGAGATTACTCACAAGGGATCTCTTGTTTATGATAGGGGTGAGCCAAGAGAAGACATGTCTCCTATGTGAAAGAGCAGATGAAACAATCCAACACTTGTTTTTTGAATGTAAATACTCAAGCAGAATACTGGAATGCTTATGCAAATGGCTGAAGGTTAAAATAAACAAAGCGGATCAGAACAATATATGGAAGAAGATAGGAAGATGTATCAAAGGAAGAATATGCAGGAAGTTTGTAGTATCCATCATCATAGCAATCATGTATGGGATCTGGAAAGCTAGGAATGAGGCATTGTGGAACAAAGCAGTACCAATTCCAAAAAAGATGTGGCAAGGAATCAAGAAAGACAGCAAATATAGAGTGCAGGAAATAACAAGTAGCAGGAAAAATAGCAAAAAAAAGGAATGGATAAATACATTGTATAGATAGCATACTAGAGAGCAAACCTACCTAGTAGGGATGCATAGAAGTAAGCTTAATGAGATTAGCTTATAGTCATAGCATGATTACTGAGTTGTAAATGTTTTTGTCAGGGGAAGTTAAATAAAAAAAAAATTACCAAAAAAAAAAAAGACATTGCTAAGGATAGTAGAAAAAAAAATTGCACAAATAATATTTCAAATATTTTGATTGGCCAATACCTAATATATTGGGTCGTTGCTTTAATTTAATTCATGACCATCATAATACACATTGACTGAAAATTTGAAAAGAATTTCAGTCCGAAATTGTTAAACACTTGAAATAAATTGGCGTCTGTGTGAGTATTTCAAGCCTATATTCACGTATATGTGCACATGCTATTATGTGTGTTTATTTGTGTGTGTGAGTGTATAATAAATGTAAATATGTATGTATATATATTTTCAATTATTCGCGTCTTACTTGTAGAAAAGTGTGGGTGACTATGAGAGAGAGAAATTAATTAATTAAGAATTATACAATCTCAATCTGTTGAGATATATTTGACATTGTTGGTAGGTTTCAAAGTACTGCTTTTGTTAAGGAGTAGTATGTGTTAATTACATGCATGAACCAGCAGCTAATATGACATTAGTAGGAGACATATTATAGTGCTTTACGACATTAAATACTACCATAAGACTATTAGAGTAAGTTTAGTCATCTAGTTTGGAAGACCTCACATGGAGATTTCCTATTATAAATAGCTAGTTGGTCCTTATTTTTTTAAAAAGAACACATTCTGTATATATTTCTTCCTTCGAACATCTTGGATATCAGATTCAGGCCGTTGTTTATTAATATTTCAGTTTTAAAAGGAAGCTTCAATGTGAAAAATGAATTAAAACATTTTGAGAAGTTTAAAGTTGCAGCCTAATTCTTGCAACTTCACCAAAACAGTTGTGTTTTCTTCCTCCCTCTTCATGGTCAACCATCATCTCAAGAAAACAAAAAAAAAACACCTTCGGCGATCTAGCTCAAACAAGAATCAAAAATCAATTATTTGAATATATTTTTCTATCAAAATGTAGGAAATGACTATCGATTACTTACGGACGTGCATGGTTTTTCTTCAAAAATACCGCAATAAGTACTCGATTTCATGAGTCCACCTTTAGTAATAAAAAATATACTAATGTAGAACAATATATTCATGTCATATATATCATCCATCTTTTACAGTATATATCACCTAGTCAGAAAAAGTGTATATATCACCTATATTCTTTTATATCCAATCAAAATAGAAAACAATTTTCTTTACATATTTCATGAAAAACACTGTAAAAGTAGTTGTTAGCCATTAGGAATTAGCTGGGAACATATATATATATATATACATGAACCAAGGTACACAGTGGTACATACGTATTACTAGTTTTTTTCAACTGTTGCTATAAGTAAAAACTTAGAGGAACAGTACTAACGCGGCAGAAAGGTTTGAAGATTCTTTGGTCTTCAATTTTCTTTCATCCCAATTTTCTCAACATTTCTGACTTCTAAACCTCTCATTCTCACTCCTCATCATTGATTCGATCAAGTCCATGTTTATTGCTCCTACGTTGGATTACCAAAGACCGACTTTTCCCCCTCCTTACATAGGATTTGGGGGTTTGGGGTGGGGTGGGGGGGAGGGGGGAGGTAAATGGGATTTTGAGTTTAAAAACTTGAACTTAAAAAATAAGTTGATGCTCAGGTTAGTTTGAATGGTCAGCAATTGGACTAGCTTACTTATACTACAATTCCCTTGACCGTAGACTGGTCTACGGTCAAACTTTCGCTAATCGTTCTATTCTAATTCACCTTCCCTTTATATCTCTCTTCCTTTTCCTCCTATTTTCTGCATTCAAAATCACAAGCAAACTTCATCTTTTTTTTTTTTTTTTTGCATGGTTTCACCAATTATATTTAACTATCATATTCCTACGCTGTCTCTCCTGCAGCTTTTTGTTTTGTATTCCACGTATATTTTCTAGTTAATTTCTCAAATGGAAAACTATGGTGCTGACAATAATGGAGAGCTTAATAGAATTATAAGTGAATTAACTCAAGGTAAGGACCTAGTTCATCAGCTCCAACTCCAACTCAATGCTCCTTATTCCTCCTCCTCTTCTTCCCCCGAAACAACTCGAGATTTCTTGCTTCATAATATCCAGTCCAAATTTGACAAGGCTCTTTCTTTGCTCCAGTACAGTACTGGAGACACTTCTAATTCACTACTACCACATTCCAATTCTGTGCCAATACCCTATTTTGGAAGGTCTGAATCTCCACCATCTTTCACTGCGAGTCCCCCTCATAGTGAAGATTCTGATCGTGACCTCGAACCCAAAGACCCTGCTACTCGCAAGAGGTTTATAGTCTTTTTTTTCTTATAAATTCCTCTGCCCAATGCATATGTAAATTAATTATAGGTTTACTTTTCACGTATGATCACTAAACTTTAATACTGATATGCTGAAGTTTAATGTCACAGAAAAAGCAATACGCCACGGTGGACAAAGCAAGTTCAAATTTGTCCCGGGGTACCAGTTGAAGGGACTCTTGATGATGGTTTTAATTGGAGAAAATATGGGCAGAAAGATATTCTTGGTGCCAAATATCCAAGGTACCATTCTTGCTAAAAACCTTTTCCACGCGTTTATATATAATTACGTCGAAGGGAAACTTTGGCGTAACTGGTAAAATTATTGTCATGTGACCTGGAGGTTACGTGTTGGAGCTGTGGAAACAGTTTCTTACAGAAATGTAGGTACAACAGATCCTTGTGGTTTAGCCCTTCTTCGGACCCTGCGAATAATGAGAGCTTTATATAGAGTAATTTATATTTATTCCACCTAACAAAATTTTGGTTGTGAAATGCAGAGGATATTACAGGTGTACACTTCGACATGTCCAAGGTTGTTTGGCTACAAAACAAGTTCAAAGAGCCGATGAAGATCCCACAATATTTGAAGTGACTTATAGAGGAAGACACACTTGTAATCAAGGTGGTGGTAATGCCAATAATAATGTCATGAATCCAGAACCTTTGACGATAATACCTCAAAATCAAGAACAAAACTTAGGAGCTGGATCAAGAAATGAACATCAGCAAATAGTCTCTGAACCCCAACAAAATCCACAGGAAATCCTCTTGAATTTTCAGAGAAACCTCAATATCTCCAACGACAATAATTTCAACTTCAATACTGATCCTAACAATGTGCCATTTTCAACTTTCGCTTCATCGTCCGATATCAAGTCTGATCAAGATTACAGCTTTGTGCCTAATTCCATTATTCAAAGCAACAACTTTGTGGAGAGTTTTTCCCCATCCTACAATTTTGGGATGTCTTCTAATTCTGAAATGAACAATTTTGGAGGGAAGCAAAATGGTTCAAATGACTACCAATTTAACTCAATGGGATATGAATCAAACTTCCCATTTGATTATCAGGGGTTCTCTTCCTAATCCTACCAAATGTTCCAAAAGGAAGTAACTTAACCAAGATGATGAGCTGCTGTTAACCACTAAAACCAGGGATTAACGAGCTGGTGAAGCTGAGCCAAGGACAATTTTGCACTATTTCTTTTATCAAACATTGCATTAGGATTGAGCATGCTAGTTTAATTTAACCAATTTCTATTAATAGTATCTCTTTTGTTCTCATATGGTCATCTTTACGTTGTAGAATTAATTTCTATTTCTATTGGAAGCTTTAAAGTTAGCTGTTTGACCAAACTTCTGAAACTAATAAAAGTGTCTTTTCTTTAAAAAGAAGAATGCATATTTTGGAAGGTTTTATGGCCAAGCTTTTGGGGAAAATGATTTTTGAGTAGTTTTTTTTTTTTTTTTAAATTGAGAGGAGGAAGTGGAATTCTAACTTCTAACACAAGTAGAAAAAATAGTTTCCGGAACAAGAATATCCTGTTTGTTTCTCCTTAATTAATTTAATTCATTTGTTACTCACATTCTCCTTATTTTTAAAACTTTCATAACTTAAATAAAATATTTCATTATAAAATTTAAAATTTTCCTATATTCAAATACTAATACTTATTATAAAGTGAATTTTCTATGTCATTTAATCATAAATTGACGTGCGGAAGTATTTTATTTAAAGAAAAATTGACAAAACACAATGCCTGAAGTTTTCAGATGATTCGATCAAGCACAGCTTGCTACTTTTCCAA